TGGCTCAAGTAGCTACTATCTGAAGCTGCTGTATAGGATTTTAAGTTCATTGTTATGTTTGAAGCAGGAAGGAGAGACCAGTGCATCAGGAATGATAAGCTTAGCAGAGTATCTAGGAACTAATGTAGCTGACCACATCCCTGAAACTCCGAACAACCTGTCAGAGGAGATGGTGAGATGCATGGCGGGGATATACTGCAGACTTGCAGATCCTCCCTTGGTTCACCATGGCTCATCGTCTTCGCCATCGTCGTCGTTCTCCTCGACTAGTGCAATTTCTCCACAGTATGTGGGGGACATGTGGAGTCCCCATTACAAGAGAGAAACGACTCTGGACTCCCGTTTGATAAACCCATTCCACGTTGAGGGTTTGAAGGAGTTCAGTGGACCTTACAACACAATGGTTGAAGTTCCTATGATTAGCCGTGACAGTCGGAGGCTGAAAGAAGCCGAGGACCTGCTCCAGACTTACAAGTGAGTTATATTTCTGCTCTTTGGTCGATGGAAATGTTCAATTTGTCAGTTAAATTTTTTTTGAAACTTCAACGGGGGGGATTGCTCCCCACCTGATTTCATTGATTTATAGCTTTGATATCATAAGTACAGGGGAGTTTACAGACGCTTGAGGAAGGGACTACTTTGAAATTTTATATTACATTTTGGATGGAGTTCACCGACTGTCAGTTAAATTTTGATACACCATTCTCAACTGATTTCGATATTTCAGGTTGATTTTGTACCGGTTGGAAGCTGTTGATCTGAGGAGAATGACAGATGAAGAAAAGATAGCATTCTGGGTCAACATACACAATGCTTTGTTGATGCATGTAATACTCTATCGATGCAGTTCGCCAAAATTTCTTAGCACTTTACGTGCTTTGTTCTTGATGGGGTCTCAATGTAATACTTTCACAGGCTTATCTGATGAATGGCGTCCCACAGAACAATCTAAAGAAAACATCCCTACTTGTTAAGGTAAAGTGAAAATGCTTCCTCTGAAGCATCAATGGGAGGGTCCTGCAACCCAAAGCACAAACCAAATTTCTTTCTCCTTTCGCTGACACATGTTTCAACCACAGGCTGCCTGCAAAATTGCTGGACGCAACATCAACGCAGCCGTTATCCAGAGCATTGTTCTTGGATGCAACACACATTGCCCCGGGCAGGTATAGCAAGAATGCATGATTAGGTCCAAACCCGGCTAAAAGCACGATGTTCGTACTGTACTGATTATATGCCTCCACACACAGGCATGCTAATTTCAGTTTTGGTCCTTTTAATGCAGTGGCTACGGACGCTGCTTTACCCCAGGATCAAAAGCAAAGTGAGCAAAGCGGGGCATGAGTGGCGAGCCTTTGCCGTTGCACAATCAGAGCCTCTTTTAGGCTTTGCGCTTTGTTCCGGCAGCCATTCTGATCCCGCGGTAAGCAACAAGTTCCGTAAACTTGGTGTCCCTGTACCTGAATACCTTCTTAAACAAACTTAGAAATCGATGCTTACTTTTTCACAAGTCAATATGGACTCTGTGTGAGTACGTACGTGTTTCATTTCTTGGCAAGCCTTTTAAGCACAAATCTGGCATGAAAAGCTGCACATTTCCTGTCCTATCAATCTATCATGTCAGTGTCACATTAGCGAAACAGGCTTACCAATGAATCATGAGCCACCAGCTTTTGGGTGATTGGGAACGTTGTTAGGAATCTTTCATCTGCCATCATGTTAGGAATCTCGCGCTGATGCCTCAAAGCACACTGCTAGTACTACCATTATTACTGGATGTGCCAAGCCAAGCCGACCCCTCTTTTCTGAATTCTGAACGCAGCATCATCATCTCACTTTGCTTTGCTTTGCTTCGCTTTGGTTGCATTGCATGCAGGTGAGGGTGTACACTCCGAAGCGGCTGTTCCACCAGCTGGAGGCGGCCAAGGAGGAGTTCATCCGGGCGACGGCCGGCGTGTGGAAGGAGCAGAAGCTGCTGCTCCCCAAGCTCTTGGAGGCGTACGCCAAGGACGTGAAGCTCTCGTCGCAGGGCCTCGTGGACATGGTCCAGCGCTACCTCCCTGAGAGCATGAGGATGGCCGTGCAGCGGTGCCAGCAGGGCGGCAGGTCGTCGGGCAAGGTCGTGGAGTGGGTGCCCTACAACCCGGCCTTCCGCTACCTGCTCGCCAGGGACCTCGCGTTCCCTCACCTCAGCTGACCCTGACGGTTGGTCGCGCTGAGCATCCATGGGCATGGGCTCCAGTAGGTGTTACTAGTATATGCGTGTGTCATAGGGTTAGAAGTAGAGGTTAGAGAAGGGATCATGTGCAGCTTTTGTGTGGTGATTATCAATGGCGTGGCGTGTAAAGAGGCTTTTGTAGATGATGAACAGGAAACAGGGGAAGAAATGAGAGAAAGCACATTTGACAATTGACTCTATTTGTGATACGTCCCGTCGCCTTCGTTATCTTGTTCATGTCATCGCCACGGTCACCTAGCCTTCCTCCCCTCTCCATTTTTTTTTTGATAAAGCTCCTCTCCAGAATTAGATTTGTCAGATGATGAGCCTTATGGTACGCTACACTGAAGGACGATACCCCATTTTTTTTTTTTTTTGAGAGGAAGGTAGGGTATTAATTCACTTTAGAAGTGTTTACATCAACAAATATAGGAGGGGACTCAAGCCATATATATCTTCCAGATCCAAAAGTACATGCAGATTTTGAAGCATATGAGCCTCCCTATTAAAATTCATACCTTCATGTGCAAACCGTACTTTGATCTTTGATGGATGTCGGAGAAACATCATATAATAAGGACACCCAGTTTTATCAGACAGGGCCGAACTTTAAATCAGCCGTTGGAAACGAGAGTCCGGGGAGCTGCCGCTGGAAAGGAGAGTCCGAGGGCCTATAACGGACCGGAATGAGGCCCAACTTTGACACAGAGTTTGGGCACCAGTAGGCTCATGAAGTCGGGACTCGGGAGAAACACCTAGCGGCCTGGTAGACTTGAACGTACCAGCTCCAATTCCCGAGTCCTCGCTTTTCTTTGCAAAAAAGAAAAAAAAAGTTGGGACGCATTCACGGGGTTCTTGAGAATTTGTTCCATTGAAAATTGGACGTTTATGAAGCTCACTAAAATCACAGAAAAAAACATCACAGACCAAATTAGATGGCTGCTGTTTAGCAACTTCTACGTATGGAATCTGTGATGGTTGGTGGCATGTATAGGCGTATAGCAAGTTAGTTGCCCTTATTCTAAAAATGTGAGCAGTTGCCACCAATCCGTATGATCACATAATGTGCTAGCCAAAGTATTTCCCCTCAAAATATAGCTTGAGCATTCTCACTTACGTGTGTGTGTGTGTGTGTGTGTATATATATATATATATATATATATATATATATATATATATATATATATATATATATATTTTGTGTGTGTGTGTGGTGGTGGGGGGGGGGGGGGCTCAAGAAATTTGCTGGCAACAGCCTCATGTTCTAATGATGCCCTGATGCATATTATGCCATTTGATAGTGATAACATTCATCAGAAATACATTATTCCCCCCGAAAGATGAGTTAATCAAGTGATTCGGAGCATCTCCACACTTGATTTCTGCTGCTACCACATCTATGAGCAATTCTGTCCTTGAGAGATTCTTCTCCATCTTACAATGCTTACTCTAACAAAGCTTTTTCTAGACTAAGATTTCTGTAGCTATCACATATTGAGTATAGTTACCCCAACAACATATCTCATTTAAGACTTGTCTGACTGCACTTCAATCCACCTCAATTCTCATGGATTAGGAAAAATTGAAGGATTATTTGGATGCATCCACGTGTGTTGAGGTGGATTGAAGTGTAAGTTAGTTTAATTTCTACCTTAATCCAGCCCAACATATGCGAATTGAGGTGGATCAGTATATATAGCCAAACAAGCCCTGGGTTGGAAAATTATACATGCAAATTAAGGTGGATTACAATGAAACCAAACAATCCCTTAAAATTTTAGCCGGGGTTATGAGAAGATCTCATTGCCTATTTGCTAACCCTAGAAGTGAAGGACATGCGGCGATGGCGATCGGGGGTGAATGCAACATCAGGCTCCCCTGATTGCAACATGAGGCAGATAGGGGGTGCTCGAGCTCTCCTACCTCCGTCTGAACAATGGATCATGTTAGATCTGCACTACTGGATAATCTTAGATCTGTCATTGACGGTGAAAGATGGCCAGCTAGCAAGGTTTTGGCAAGGTCGTAGGAGCGATGGTTGGCGCGGTAACGTTTGTTGTTACGAGTGTTAGTTTATTTTCCCCTCAATCCCTTTCAATTCCCATGAAAAATGGGTCTATCAATGGAGCCCTAGCTAAAGGTGGGATGGGAGCGATGGTGAGGTGGCATGCATGGATTAGCTCGGGGGATTGAGAAAGGAGAGAGCTAATTGTAGAAGAAGCTGAAAAATTGGGCACCAGGAGGCCTTGAATCACCTCATACGGTACGTTCGTTATTTTCCCATCAAGAGATGAAAAGGAGTTCTCAGTTTCTTTTACCGGCACAAGTCACGAAGAAAGATTTCGGCCTGTTCGTTTCGCTAAAATTTAGTTACTACTATGCTGATCTATTGGGAGAGATATTATCCATTGGTAAAAAGTATTACTAGATCCGAAAAACTGGCGTTCATTTTCACAAACAACGAGAGATTTATTCCATGACGCACGACACAGAGCCTGAACACGAGCACTAATAAAAGCTGAGTTTCAAACTGTGACTGGGCACACCGTACGGAGATTCCGTGTATTTACACTTGCATCTAAACCTACACGTAGCGTACACTCTCATCCTGTTGCCGCCTAAAACAACGGCGCCAAAAACACTACGCACATTTCTCATTCCTGAGCTCTGCGTCTACAACACTTCCTGCTCCATCGATCTCCGGCGCGGCCACACCGTCCGACCAAGCGCCGGCGAGCGACTTGAGACCACCAGAGGCACATATGCCGAGTGGAGGCTCGATCTACTCGCTCTCCGGGATAGCGGTCAGGTCGGGGGAGAACCTGGACGCCCTGCCGCCCCGGTACGCCACCCTCCGCTTCTGCGCCGCCACCACAGCAGGCTTCGCCGCGACGGGCGAGCAGACCGCGTCGGCCGCCGCGTACTCCTCCTCGGGGACCGGGAACACGAGCGGCGCCACCGCGCCGTGGCGGCGGCGGCGGCATGGCGAGGACGGCTGGGCGGCGGCGGCCGCGGCCGCGGCCTTGACGAGCGCCGAGCTGGCCCTGACCGCGAGCGCGGCGACCTCGTCGCGGGTGAGGCGGCGGCGCTGCATCTCGGCGGGGAGCACGAAGTATATCTGCCCCGCCTGGAGCTCCTCCCCGGGGGCGACCGCGGCCACGGCGACGGGTCCCCCCTCGAACGCGATCCCGTCGGCGTCGCAGAGGAACCACGACGCCCCCTCGCCGCCGGCCGCTTGCAGCGCCGTCGCGGCGGTGGCCGGTGGGACGTACTCCCGGAGCTCGCCGCTGGGCAGCACCACCCTCGCCGCTGCGGCGCCCTCGTCCGCCGCGTCGCACGACACGCAGATGCCCATTGTGCAGTGCAGCTGCAGCAGTAGGGATGTGTGATCTTGTGTAGTATGCTGCTGCTTCGGTCCGGTCTGGCTTGCGGGCTGCGCTGTCCTTGATTTCGTGTGTCGCTGCTTCTCTTCTCTGCTGGAGACGGCGATGGCCGGTGAGGGAGGAAGACTCGAAGAGGGCGGCTATATATAGCGGGAGGATGATGGAGACGAGGGCGGGGCGGCAGAGGCCAGAGGGTGAAGTGTCCTGTAGCCTCGAGTGGAGGCAAGACAGGCTGGAAGGTTTGCAACGAGCGAGGCCACAGGGATTCGCGTGCACTGGGCGGGGTTTTCTTGGCGAAGACAGGTCAAACAGAGCGCAGGGCCAAATATCATGCCGGCTACAATGCTGCTTCACTGTCCAAATCAAATATTTATTTCTTTTAATTGAGCCGTGAAGAACTAAGCACGACAGTGTGAAGAACTAAGGTTCCGTTTGTATACCAATGGATTCCAAGAATCCAGATAAAAAAATTGTTAGAATCTCAAAATCTCTTCCAAACATCATAGGATTCTAGAGAATTCTTACACATAATCCAATAAAATCTCATATATAACTTTTATTCAGAATCCAGATTTTATAATCTCATCCAAACATGCCCTATGCACGACAGGGCATGGTATCGTTTCAAAGGTTTATTTATTTGTTAAGCGTAAAACATGCAAATTTTTTTCAAGCTAGTGTGTTAGAGCAAAATTTCAGATCGAAAATGTGTGAAGCATAGCTTGTTGGCAACTTAGTATCATGGCGATGTTTCAGGCTGAAAATGAAAAAAGATTATTTGTCAGTTGTCAAGTGGAGAGTCGGGCATTTCTGGTAGGGAATGAACTTAGTATCCTCGAGTGGAAGCAAAATCTTCACATTTAAATGTTAAGTGTGAAATTTGAACATTGAGCGCGTTCGAAACTGCTTTTTTGGTCTGTGTTGCAGCTGCTGGTGTTGTCCACCCCTCCCACACAAATGGCTAAACAAGCTGCACCAACCAGCCAACAGCAACACTTCAGCAACAACAGGTACAAAAGTGTAACACCTCGGGTGTTAGCCTTGCATAACTTGACTTGCATAACATGAGCATGAGCATCAAGCATTCATAAATCATCATTTACAACTGAAACATGTGATCGAAACATATGAAACATTGCTTGTTATTTCGTGTTTCTTGGAACATATGCATATGATCATGTGCAAATGAATGCAAGTGGGTAATGTTAGTCACTAAAACACCTTAGCTACACTTAGGTTAACAAAAGGAACCTTGTTCATGAAGGTCACCTTTCATGATGAAGCACGTAAGTAATATTACATGTGTTGACCTGGATAGCTCTATGAGTGACTACTACATGAAATGCTTAAATGACCTTGCAAATTGCTTAAACATGCTTAGAGTATCATCATGAACAACTTTGGTATTTAGGGCTAGGGCTAGTTTGGTCATTAAGCCATGCTTTGATGTGTTTCATCATTCAAAAGTGACATGTTTGACCAAAGTTGAACTAGGTGTTAGAGACCTTGCATGGAGGAGTTCACTAAATCAAAGTTGTAGTGTTTGACATAAGGAACAACTTTTATTTTTGGGTCATTGACTGATTTAGCTTCTAAAATGCTTGAATAGGTCCCACAAAAATCAGCAAAATCCAACTTTCAACACTTAAGAAAAATTTTCTAAGTCTGGATCCCTGACAACCTGACAAGCCCACCTGGAGCACGTTTTTTCTCCGTTTTTGTTGCGAATCAGAGCTTACTCTCTTAATCAAAGTTGAAGCTGGTACATAGGGCTAGGATTTTTGTTAAGACGGTTTACGATTTGGAGCCATGGATTAGCCGTTATATCGGCGTGAAAACTTCGGCGTCGAGCTCGGCCGGGTTGTATGAGCGAACTGAAACTTCGGCGTCGATGGTCGACACCGGCAGAAGCACGCTGGCGCTTGGCGTGTCATGGCGGCGACGGCGCGTCACCAGCGCCCACCCACCGTGGCTAAGGCAGGCCGACGCGAGCCAAGAACCCGCCGGCGCCGCCGAGCCATCCCGCGCCCATTTTCAATTTCCGCCTCCTCCTTCGCCACAGTAGCAGCCGCCGAAGCTCCCGCAGCCGAAGCAGTTCCGCCGTCGTCTCGCGTGCCTTAATCGCGTCGCACCACCACCGCCTCCATCTCGCCCATAGCTGCGCCGCAGACTCTCCTCCACCACCACGACGTGTTGATTGCTTCTATTGCGCCTTGGTGAGGGCGTATTTCCTTTTTCCCCTCTCGCTGGAACCTCGACCGCCATGGCCGCCTCCATGGCAAGCTCGCCACTGTTCGGCTCGCTTCGCCTCTTCCCTTCGATTTTGAGCGTTAGCATTGGTTTAGGATGTGTATAGCCGGTGCTATGATGTCACCTCGGTTGGTTGTCCCGCCGGCGTGGAACGTGACAACCAGCGCCGCCGCGCTCTAACCTCCGCGCCACCGCACCGTGGCCATGCGTCGTCGGAGCTTTGCGTGGAGCTTTTGTTGTTGAAATAGAGTCGCTAGGTCACCGTGGTACCGTTATGGCGCCTCGCCTAGTTTTCCCATGGCCGGAGATGGCCGGCACAAGATCGAGCGGCGCGCCGGCCGTCTTGCCATCACCGACGACGAGCATGCTCCACCCACCCTCACCCGCCACCACCTAGGTCGTTCGACGCGCGCTACTCAGTAGAATGTGTCGTGAAGACCTCACCGCCGGCGAAGCTCGTCGTCGACGAGCAGCATGACAAGAAGATGCTAAAGCGGCGCCGCTGCCCTGTTTCGTGTCATCGACGCGGCGTGGGGTCCCCTGACCAGTGGGTCCCACCGGTCGGTGACGTGACAGAGATGATGAAGGATAGCTTATTTGATTCCAGATTTTTGATTTCTTTTGTGATTTTCATATCTTCAGTTTGATAGCTCCTAAAATTGTGAAATAAATTTGTGAGTGTTCCTTAGGAAGAGTAGTATTTAGGAAAAATATGTTCTTGACTTGTACAGTAGAAATTTTTGGAGATTTAAATAGGGATTTGAAATGTGCTTTTGAATGCATTCAAATTTGTTTATTTTATATCTAGAGTTCCTGTGCTCCAAAAATTATGAAATTTTTGTGGTAAGCTAATCTTAGCATATATGAGCTCTGGTAAAAATTTGGGGACCAGTGCATGGGTAGATTTATAGTTATAGATTTTTCTTTTATGGATAGTCAATCCTTGCATAAATTTTTATAAATTATTTATGAGTCCAAAATTCATGAAATTTGCTGGAGGCAATCCTAGTACTATATGGATGCTAAGAAAAATAGGAAATCTGTTGCTTGACACTTTTCAATAGGGTTTTCCATTTATGCTATTTCAAGCCTTGCTGCCTTGTCATTTTTGCATAGGATGTTCTACTTGGTAAAATGCCATGAAATTTTTATAGTAGTCCTTTGATAGCATTAGTAAGGCACTGTAAAATTTTGAGAATTTATTAAGTACTTTTGATATATATTTATTATTTAACCTAGATATATAAATAAAATGATAAAGGCAATTAAATAAATAGTTTGGGCTTCACCATTATATGATTCTAAATGTAATTGGTATGCTTAAACTGTTGGTGGATTCTATGTTGTCAAATTTTGAATGATTACATGAAGTAGAAGTATCGTTACTTTATGTTGCATGTTGAATAGTTTCCGGACTGATTCTAGAGTTTGATGAGTTGCATGTTGAAAATGATGTGTACTGTAAAAATGGTTAATAACAAAGTTGTAGAAAATTTGATAAGCTTTCCAGAAAGTTTAGGATCACTGGATTTGGATTTGTAGAACTCCCGTTATGAGTGAAACAAGTAGCTGCTATTTTATGGTATAATCGATGCATTATGGAAAGATAATTAAATAACCGAGAAGAGATATGCACCTACTCAATAAACATGATGCACTTGTTAACATATATGCATTCGTAATACTTATGCCATACTCATGCATCTAGGATCGGAGGAAGAGATCATGTTCTTTGGAATTGAAGAAGAAGAGGAAGGAACCGGCAGGAGGATTCGCAAGCCGCATGACTCGAAGGCATGGAGCAGAACCACGAAGAGCTTCCGAGTGCCCCGACCACCGCCCTACTTCCTTTTCTGCGAGGCAAGCCCGGAGCATTATAAGTCTCCCGATAATTTACAAATGTTTACTTAAGTACTTATGATTCTTTGCATTAGGTTATAAGAGTTGAATGAAACCACTTGATGCATGTACATTCCTTGTCCGGATATTACACCTTTAACGGTATATGTCCAGGATCGAATATATGCTTAGCCATGCTTAGACCGGTAGAAGTCGGGTGATTTCCGGTCATCTGTGAGATATAGGTGGATACCAGAGCACAGTTGGTTATAATTGCTATCGTGGAAAAGAACCATGGTTAATATAATTGGAGACCAGGCGGGATGTCGATAGAGAAGCAACAAGACATGGAGGTCTTGGGTGTGGATCTATCCCCGTCTATGTCGATCAAGGACCTATACCGTTGTTGGAACTTTCGACAAGATTGAACGCATGCCTCTCACTTAGCTGGCGGATAATTCGTTCCACCACGAAGCCGAGTAATTCAACTCGGCGGGAATCGCTTACATTGTGCGCTCCTTCCGAGAACGATCGACCGAGCCCAAGGGCGGGCTTGGCACGAGCATCCCGGCATCTGGTGTTCCAGACATGCGGCGCAAGACGGACCCATGAAATGTGTACCGGAGTTGTACCAAAGGTGACCTAAGGCTATCGTGGCTGGTAGACTGGGTTTGTGTTAGGAATAAATTCCCATTTGGTTGAAATCGATTGAATCGCCGTCTCTCCGGATAGTGAGAAACTTGGCTAGCTCCAACATCGTAGTAAGCTGTGTTATGGAACATGATGGTTCGGATGAAAATGGAATTACAATACGCTATGGTTACTATTGTATGCTTCTAAAGGATATACCACATGTTTGGTACGGGATAGTTGTTAATCTAGA